CCCCAAAACCCCAAAACCCCATAATGCTACAAATTAAATAAATTAGAGATAGATTTAAATTATAAGACTAATCAAATATTAATATTGTATTAAGAAAGGTAAAAGCCAGTTTTGTCATCATAGTGAAATCTCGTTGATAATTAAATCTAATTAGGAGACGCACTACTTGCCTTTAATTAGCTCTTGTGATTTTCTATAATAGGTCTTCCAATAAATGTGTATCTATTATTATTCTACATCAATTCTTTCTTACCAAAGCTAGAGTTAATTAGTGTCAAATGCAATTTCTCATTCTCAAATCTTTTAGTTTTTGAGTTGAATCTGATATGAGATAAATCTCTTTTATCAATTACTTTATAATCTATCATTGCTTTTATCAGGACATGTATTACATCCTTTAGCAATTCAAATTATTCTCCTTCCTCCTTCAATTCAAAATGAATTACATTTGTTTCTTCTAAACTTCCAAAATAGCCCAAATTGTCAAACTCTAGAAAAAGTTTACCATTTTAACCCCTTCCTACAACTAATTTTTGAATATACTCCTCAACTGATCTCATAGCTTCTCGAGCCAACTCAACTTCTTATTCACTTTGCAGAGTTAGCATGCAAAGAGTGAAATGTGCTTTATTAGGGTCTTGAAATAACCTAGGATAGATAGTTTCATACTTCTAAGCTAGTATTTCTTATTTCCACTTTTCTAGTCCTTTTGCTAGTGATTCTGTTGCCATTGGTAAGGATAAAAAATGAGTAAATTACCCCTTTTTCCTTGTCTAAGGTTTATTTTTTGTGAAGTAGGGTTTAGAAGCTTGTTAGACTGTCTTTAAAAATACTTTTCTGTGGGAAGCAACTTATTAGATAGCATTTATATTTAGAATTCTCTCCATGAAGTCCAAGTATTTAATCAATATAAAGAAATAACTTAGCTTTTTAATTGACATTTTTAATCACTAATAGTAGCTATTTATAATTAATTCTACCTATTATATGAAAACTGACCATTCATTTGAATGTTTGATTTTTAATGAGATTTTTACACATGGGGTTTTGGGGTTTTGGGG